ATATCATTCATATTAAGTAGCTAATTCATTATAGTATTTACATGGATTTAACTCCATGTAAGTTTTTTTGCCAAGCGGAGATATTGCAGAGCCTGGCATTGATGTTAATCTGATGTGGCAGTAGAGTTGTCAGGCCTCAATAACCTAGAAGCATCATTAGTAGGTGCCAAACCCAACTCTGCTGTCCCCTTTCAGTTCAAATGAGCAGTTTGTTGTCACCTTCCAACTCACTGACCTCCTCCTCCTCACTCCGATGTGGACTGAAACCAGCTGCGTGTGACTCATTCGCTCTCTCGACACCACATCGTTCCGATAAAGAGCCCGGATTAGTGCGGCTGATGGCTCCAATCAGCATGTAATCTCATGATCCTTTTTATTGTCACCCACAAAAAAAAGATATGTGGACGGAATCAATGGAGAATGTAATGGTGGTGAGACGTAATGCAGATGAGGACCAGCTCTGTTATCAGCACCAAAAGGTGCTTCAACACTCGAGTGCTGCACATGAGACACATTGAGGGGTCAGGGGGTAAAAAGAGGACTAATATTGATATGCTGTCATGTGTAAGCAGTTTCTGTCCTCTTCAGTGGATGACATTGAGAGCCAGATAGGAGTGTCATGTCCTGCTGCAGAGCTCCACTGCACATTGATCTACTGTAAGGCTGCGACTGCTCCGCTCAATAGTCAGTTCATGCTGCATGTGTCTGTGTGTGAGTGTGCGTGCATTATACTTCTACTTCACTACATGGGAATGGAAATATCTAGTGGTGGAAGACATATTTTATCAAGTAAAAGTAGCAATACAACACTATAAAAATACTCACCAGTGATATATAGTATAGTATACAGTAGCATAGAATAGCATAAAAAGGAAATACAGTATTACAGTACTTAATGACATTACCTTAGTGCAGTAAGTAGGCTAAATGGCTACAAAAAGACAGAAAACAAGCTTGTTATCATTTTATTAATACAGCCAAACTGACTTCATGTCAGATATTTAAATATTAAATATTTTTAGCAGGGTTGACTACAGCAAAAAGAAAAATGTTTATTATAAAAGCATGAAAGGTGAAAATGTATTCCACTTTTTTAAGTCCTTACAGACTGTAACTTAATAGAGTAATAGAGTATTTTTAAAGTGTGGTATTAGTACTTTTATGTACTTAATTCTTCTTCCATCACCAATCATTTGATTAGAAATAAAAACAAAATGCAAATTCATTGTTGTGTTTTTACCAATTTGTCATTTTCACATGATCCAGGTTGTAACGGCAGTGATTTGATCCATCATGACAATGTGTGTGTGTGTGTTTG